GTCAAAACCTACCCTTTCCAGATCAGTGTTGACCATTTCCTAGTATTAAGTTCCGATAATTGCTTCCATAACTTTAGACGCAATAGAAGTCAGACAAAATATAATATATATTGGTATATAATTACTTTGGTCAGTTTTATTACCCTTCTTGTTAACAATTTTCTAGCCTGTAAATACTACCCTAAATATTATTGAGTACATGACAAATTGGTAATAGTCATAGTGAAGCATTCAGTTATTTTTTTTATTTTTTTAAGAGAATATGAAAATAGTTTTTTTTTTCTAAAACCATCTGTAAAAAATACAAACATTTTTAAAAAGTGTTTTGCATACTGTGCCTAACACTACATACTCTACAGGATACATTATATAAATGTTAATCATTAGGGGAAAAAGTTCAGGAATGAAAGTTTACTTTTACAGAAGGCTTAGTAGAATTGTTCTCTGCACATTTATGGTAAACTTAAACCTCCACACTGCCTTTAGGAGCTAGATCTACAGCTTTTTACTTCTGCCTTCTTCCGCTTGTACCTAAATGCACCTGGTCAAAGTCAAAATGAGTTTATCTGATCTAAGTCTAAGTGTTAAAACCTTTCATCTTGGGAACAAAACATTAATTGTTTTCTGTTTTATCTTCAACCCTTACCACACAATACCTACTCAAACAGGTTGAAAGATATACTGTAGATTAGCTTACTGCATGCAAATATCTCAGGGTTACTTTTATTACTGGGAATTTTTTTTTTAGTTAACTAAAAGAAGCTTTGCTGTAAGGCTTTCCTAAAACGTCCCAGTCAAAAACAAAAGAGTCAAGGCCGAGAATGTGCTGCACAATTGTAAAAGCACTGGGAGTACAGTGTGGAAGGCAGCTTTAACACAAATGTAGTTGGTAACTTTCTTTTAAAAGTATAATCAGGTCAGTTTAAAACAAAACAAACAAAAAAAATAGAAGAATGAGAATAATAAATAATTCTCAACGTTTCATTAGCACTACATATTAGGCCAAATTTACTGTACTGACATAGTAGCAGTCTTACATCCTCAGCCTGCAATGGGAGAGATTTCCAACTGTGGCTGATGGCACTGTTTGTGACTGGAAACAGATGGGACAACTATAATGTTGATCTTGGTGATATGCAATAGGCAGACTGACAAAGTCAATTTTTAAAATGTGGTTGACACAATAGCAGAGCCTCAGTCCTGGGGAGGGGGGTGCCAAGCTGTTAAAAACAGTAATAGGATTTTTTTTTCTTTTGTTATCTGAACTGGCAAGAATTCATGGTCAATCCTCTCAGTTACTGTGGCATTTACTCTGTGAGCCAGGATGTTACACAACACTTCGATCCTGGGAACAGTGAAAGGCGAGCGAGAAACAAGTTAGGAAATTAATCCACCTCATCACCTGCAATGATAAAAGCCTGCCCACTCTGACTGCAGCGAAGGTTAAAGAACTGCACAACAGAGTAAACTGAAACCAAGCAATTATTCCAGCAAAAGTGAACATTGCTGAGGAAACTGTAGCTTTAACTTGAAACAAAATCTGAGCTTGACTGTAGAACATTATTGGAAAATAAAATTTAAAAAATGCTGTAATGGCTGCTTTGCAGCACACTGGCAATTTGCCTGCCTAAATCTGGCATCCTGTGGCAGTGTATAAGCTGATTGAGGAGCAATGCAGCAATTAAACATCAGCAAAAAAATCAAGCACTTCTATTTTAATTTTCCATGAGCAAACTCTGCTAAGCAAAGGGGTCTGTTACATCAATATATGTAGTGTAAGAAGAAAATGGGTTATTTCTAAGGATATATATATATAATGTTATGTATGCTTTAAATCATTGTTATTATAAGTCCTTCAATAGCATATATTCTAGCATATCAGCAGAATGTCCATGTCCTACAAATTCAAAGACGCATTCATGTTTATTTAAAGATACGATGTGCATGACATATGATTAGAACAGAAATGAAAACACAGAAGCTGACATTGATGATTGTTTAAAAATGCAATGACTAAAAATGTGACTATGTTTAAAAAAACTGCAAATACATCCATCCATTTTCTAATCACTCTTATCCAATACAGGGTCACTGGGGAGCTGGAGCCTATCCCTGCAAGTAACAGGCTGAAGGCAGGATACATCCTGGACTGGACACCAGTCCATCGCTGGGCAGAAACAGACACATGCACATACGTACCAGGACTAGTTTTCCCAGAGGTCACATACCCTACCAGTATGTCTTTGGACAGTGGTGGGAAACCAGAGCACCCACAGGAAACCCATGTGAACATGGGGAGAATATACAAACTCCACACAAATGGCACCCCAGGAATTAAACAAAGGGCCCCTGTGTTTTGAAGCAGCAATGCTAACCACTGTGCAACTGACCGCCTCTAACAGCAAATACATAAGAAAATGAACAATCAAAAAAAGAAATACAGCTTTAATGATGGATTAGGCAAGGATTCTCATTTTGCACAAATTTCATGACTCAGAAAATTCAGATGGTTTTGTTGTCCTCCATCTTGAAGCCTAAGAGGAGTGATTAATTTTGTATTTTTGATTCGTTGTCTAATATACCAATTCCAACCCACTTCAATTTTTTTAAAAAAGAACAATACTTCAAACATGACCATACCCTATTAAAAGTGAAACAAAGAATTCCAAAGAAACTGAGCACTCGTTAAGGAAGATCAGTTCATCAGTTGAAAAAAAGACTTCAACAACACTTCTGTTGTTATCTAATAATAATATTATAATTGTTTCCAAAGATGGTTAATGGAAAAAATAAGATGTTTATGTGAATTAATTTAATGCCCGTCTTCTTTATATTTACAATTCACAACAGTATTTTCTAGAAGTAATTAATTTTCAATCAATTAGTAACCAGCTGGAGAACAAAAGCATATCTTTAAATTTACAGAATATCTTTAAAGTGGATTTTAACCAGATAAGTGGATCAGCAAAAAGAGGTGAATTCCCAATGAGCTGTGTTACATTAAATACTGTATTATCTTCCCTTGTCTTTTTAAAAGTCTAAACAAATAAGACATGTTAATGGGATTAATGCAATTCCACACTACGGGTGAAAAAGTTGTGTGTATATTCTACTACAAAGTTAAAAAATTTATACATTTCCTGTTCATATATCAATTCAGACTCTGTTTATCAAAGCACTCTAAATGGAAATGACTCTCTCTCCAAACTTTCAGAGCGAGAAGTTACAGTTCTCTCACTGCAGAATGCCGAGAGACAGTCTTGAGTGCTTGGTCTTTAGTCTGGCTGTGTGAAATGTTTGGATTGGATTTGTAATACTGCATTCTAAGGACAATATTCAGTCAGTCCTTAAAGTGCTTCTCAAAGGTTAATATACGATTTCTTAATGATCCTTATTTTGAAAATACATATCTTGTGTGCTTAATAATCTTTCCATATATGAGTAGTAGGAAGTAGGTTATACAGTACTGTTGCACTTGGCATAATGAGGGGGTTCCTTAAAAGTTAGCACACTAAGTAATGAATGAGTGCTGTCTGAATAGAAATGTGACAGACATCAGTGTCTGGACCACTTAGAAAGTCTAGCTATTAGATCTAAGCCTGGAAACCCTGATGTGTTTTTGAGCTGCACTCTGTTAAGGAAACTGCCAAGAAACACCAGGTATTTCTTTTCACTTCCAGAGTATATAGTAAGTATGCAACTTAATGTATACAGAAAAGCTTAAAGACATTCCATAAAATAATTCTAAGCATTTTTAGTATGTCTGCCACAAAATGGACCACATGACAGGATTATATATACAAATCCCCCCCCAAAAGAAAAGTAATCTAAATATATTTCTTGGTTAGGAATGCTGCATGATTAATAGTTAAGATTTGCCATTCTTACTAAATATACAAATTAGGCACATTATTAGTCTCCACTCTACATAGGCCTTTTTTTCAGAACCTTGTGGCAAAGTGTCAACAGTTCCTTCACTCTTATAGAATGAAATTCTACAGAACAAAAATGTACTTCAATGATGGAATTAAAACATTAAATTACAACATACAGTAACACATCAGAAACAGAATTGTTGAGTTATATGCAGGCTGCAGGACTTATTCCAGAGAATTTAACACTGATCTAAAAAAAAGAGCCTCTCTGCCAGCACTCCCTGAGCGCTTAGTATATACACACAGGGAATGGACTCTTGGAGATTTAACCACAGAAAAGCGATAGTTAACCAGGCATGAGTTTCAAGAAAAGCATTATCCACCGATGGCGATCTGGGGGTTTTTCAATGCTCCGTTACCCCTGAAACCAAACAGTTACTGTAAGGATATTGAACAGGTGCTCTAGTACAATCACGAAATCTGCTTACCTATTCTCACTTATGTCCTGGATAGATTCCAATAGGATAAGTGGGCAAGGAGAATCTACTACCCAGCAGCTATTCCTGTTAAGCTTTTCCAGTTCTGAAGATTGAGTGTTAAAAACCTATTAGGACATCTGATTTAAGACAGATGGTTGAGCTCCCAGACCAGAACATACTACTATACTTCCTCTACCTTGAAACCAACCCAAACTATTTCCTACATATGAAAGCCCCCAACCTTTTACTCCAAAGCTGCTGGGATACTGTCGTCGGTTTCACCTTACACTGCTAAAGACCAATGTGGAAAATGTCCACATGGGTCAAACTCTGAAATGTTTTAAAAGATGTGTCAGGTATGAGGTTTGAAGGCAGGATCAAAAAAGACCAAGCAGTGTATCCATATGCAAGTCTTGCGAGAAGAAGGTGCTTCAAAGTGGAAAAATGAATATGAAGATCAAGCTGGACCAAAACCAACATACTGTGAAGCATTAATAATGATGGGGAAGCATTAAACTCATACAGAAGCCTACAGACATGTTCAACAGAAAGTCAAAAGAGGTGTCACATTACATCTTGGATTTTGCATTAATTTACTACAGAAAGGCACTGAATGCATACAAGTCTGCACAACAAACCTGCCTACCTTATTAGTTGCTGTGGCGCTGGAACCGGGCACTACTGGAACATTGGTTACTTGCACTGACAAGTAGTTGTTGTCGATCAGGGGCCAGGCACCCTCTACCTTGCAGGTCTGGAAGTGGTCCTTGAAAGTCCTGAGGTGGGGATCTCCAAACAAGCCACAGAAGAGGTAGGTGGGCTGAGCGTGCTCCTTAGCCTGGAGGTCCCTGCTGTTGCCATGGTGGCGGCTGTGATAGTTGCAGGGCTCGGCAGCGGTTTCCGGGTGGGTGGAGGAGGTAGGCCCGTCCTTGGAGCAGTTGCGCTGGCTCATGAGATCGCTGATGCCCAGCATGGCGGAGTGAAAGACAAGGTTGCCACGGCAGCTCTTGGAGGTGCGGTGGGTGCAAGCGGAGTAGGCCCGCAGCGCCTTGCAGAACTCGGTGTCGAAGCCATCCAGGGAGGGGTTAAGATGGGACGTGAGGGACACAAAGTCTGTTGTACACTTCTGGATTCGACATTGAGGGGTTTGCACTTGGCAGTCTCCTGGAAAAAAAAACCCAACAATAATAAAAATATAACCTAAGTCAACAATACTGTACAGTACATTGCCACAGTATGCCAGAGAACAGAATGAGATAAACTACAATGAAAGCTAAAATGTAACGGTCAGGCCACTTTTGCTATTTTTCAGTAGAGCAGAGCAGTATTTGTATTTTAGCATGCTACATTTGTGTACAGTTTCAAAAAGTAATTAAATGTCTACTTTTCAAATGGTTTTTCATTACTTTAAGACACCGGCATTTTAATCATTCGTATTTTACCTCAAGATTGTGAAATAGTGCAAATAACATGAACACATAAGTAATGATATGGTAGCTTTGAAAGCTTTATTATAGCACTCTACAGATAAGAAAATCTTCACCACAATCAAAACACCTTTCTAGAAAAAAAAAATCCACTCTTTAGAAAGCTGAATCTATTTTTGCTAGCAGTTTTTTATTATTTAGACAAACATAATTTTGACAAGGAGAACTGTTACAGCCCATTATGTTTACCAGGTCATGTCAGCCAGTGTGTGAAGTTCCCTTTAATCTTGGTAACAAGCTATAAAACCTAAATTAAGTTGCAGTCATCGGAAAAAGAAGAAATGAATAAGCAAAAGCCGCTGATAAAGCCCAATAAAATCTAATTGTAAATAAAGCAAACAGTAGCATGAGTTTCAAAAAGCTTGAGTTATATTTGAACAGTTAAAAGGGGAATGACAACTGTCAATGTAAAAATACTGCACTATATCAATGCTATTTAATTTGGGTTTATTTCCTTACACTTATAACTTATAATGTCCAAAGCAAAGTCATAAGTGTGTAACATCTCCTCACTTAAATGAGTATACTTGCCTTGTTTAATGTAAATCTGTATAAAAATAAAAGATCTCAGTCTATTTTTTTATTTTACATTTTACTTTCATAGCATAATGCAGCTCCATTAAACTCAAATTCTTTGGGGTCAGCAATCAATTCTGGGAAGAATTGTGTTTTAATGTAGCGTGTGTGGTAGACATATTAAACAACACTGATTAGATGCATTAAATTTGTCTGGTTGGCTCTGGCCAACAACTCCTAAATGATCATTTTGATCACAATTGTCACAAACAACTAAAAAGCTATTTATATAAACATTAAAGAACATACGTTTACAAATAACAGAAGACATTTAGTTTGTTTGGTAGCTGCTTGATCAAAGGGTCTTCCCCAACCAATTTCTGAAAGATGCCAAGTTATATATTATAAGGTATAATAGGTACTGCGCATCAAAAGTTAATAACCTTTATAACTTAAGTTATAGTCTACCATGATAGGCTTATAAAGCCTATTATAAAAGTATACAAGTCACAGGGTAGCACCATGTAAAAGGAAATAAGCTGTACATCAGTGATGCAAACTTCCACTAAGTCACAGTCTTAATGGATTGTGTTCCATTGCTCTCATAGAATCTCGTAAAGAACATGTCTGACTATTTTGTAAAAAAGGTACAAGTGATGAGTAGCATCAGGATAAGTGTTGTCCTGTTGGAATGTTGTCATATAGGATGCTCCCACAAGAGGGGCAGCAAGTGAGATCCAGGGAGATGATTACTTACAGCATAGTGCAGCCAGGTCGCATCAATTATTAGAAGTGGAGCTCTGTAGCGAGTAGATGCTCTTGAACGTACTACAACACCTGGCCCCCCAATTGATATTGGCAAAGTGCTGCGACTTGTGGCCCATGTATGATAGATTGTGTTGGCTGTAATGTCTTGCCATGTTGTAAATTGCTGTGCATTTTTTAGACTTATTCCACCCTCCAACATTCTAGCTGCCTACATTGTTCTCTTCATTAGCACGACATTTTGGTTTTCTACATCTTTCTGTCTTTATTGTCACCATTCATAATCTGTGCACATAGAATCCTCTTTGAGACTAATTAGGTGAATGCTTCATGTCACAGTCAAAGTCACTTGAGTGTATGACATCCAAAACATTTAATCAATATACAAAATCACTAAACATTATTTTACAGAAACCATCTATGTACATTGAGGATAAGAACATATTCATGCCCAGTATATATTTTGCAAGTTCTACAATAAATGCACTTATCCACAGAAATAAGATTTTACTGTATTTTGTTTTAAGAAATAGTCACAGAAGCTATTCAAATGCTAAAATGAGACCATTAAACAAAAAAACACGTTCCTCCTCTGTTTTTGCATGCGTCTGCAGTATGTCTAACAAGGATAAATGATGCATCGACCATTGCATCACATTCATGTCAAATAAGTTTGTTTTTTTTAAAAGGTCTGGGCCTTTTCCAAGCAATGAAAGTATTCACTCATCCCATCTTTCTTCCTTTACTTTAAATACTGTGGTGCATACTTCTCTAATTAAATTTTCAATTAAATGAGCATAAAAAAGAAATTGAGGATACAGAAAGCACGATATACTCACAGGCCCAAACTCTGCTAAACTAAGAACTCACAACAAGTTATTGGTGATACAATAACAGTATAAAATAATAACATTGGCAAACATAACATTTGAAAGTTCGACGATTAAGATAACCCACACAAAGGATGATTGTTAGTTACAAATAATGTAATAATTGTAAACAATAGTTCTTCATATAAAAAAGTATTTTTTGCTTACTTATTGCTTATCAATAAAAAGGACATCTGCACTGTAGTCAAACTACATTACAACTCTACAGCTACAAATCAAAAGATGTCAAACACTTGACTGAGGCTACACCAATTACATATTTCTATTTGCCGTGTACTAAAAATACATAAACAGTTGAACTAGTGTAAGACAGTTAGCTGCCAATAAATCATACCGTACAAGAAATGAGTCAGAAAGAGCATATTTGATTATTAGTTAAGCTAAGCATATCCTACATTCTGTGTGCACTTCATTGAGAGCTTGTCACTGGATTTTCAACTGATCCTTTATACAGCTGAAGGAAAAGCTTCACTTCAGGTTTACTGCAATGAGGCCCTGTACTCAATGTTTTTACTCTTTTTTTTATTCTATAGTTGCCTTGACACTGGTAGCATGACATAAATACCCAGACCTTAAAATATAATGCTCATGCTCCCTGGCTCACAAATGCAATTTTATACTTTAACACCACTGTGACAGTACTGTTATTCCTAATAATTTGGCTGAAAACCATGCGAAAGGTTCAAATTATCTACTATAACTTGAAAGGGGGCTTAACCAAAGCGTTTATATTGTGTATTTCTATAGGCCTTTTTCTGTCTTTTCTTAATCAAAATACAGTGACTACACAGTTTCATCATTAAACTGTAAAGCTGCAACATTTAGATTCAAACATGAGAACTAAGACCACTTACTGCATTTTGCTGCTGACAGACCCACTTAGTAAAATGAATATGCAAAATTATACAGTCTAACTCTTCCCATAAATGTGTGAGATGTACTGCAACGATGATGTATTTTACATGAGCAGGGATTGTTACCGATAAAAGGATCTCAGTAGGATTTAATGTATTTGTAACCAAAGCCAAGTTTGGAAACCATGCTCGTAGCCTTATCAGAGACTGCAACAGAACAGAGAAGCTTTTAATGAAGGTAAAGTGCTCTTCCATTCCATCCGCCCCAATATCTGCAGCATACTCATTCGCTTATGGACTTCTAATGCAGTTACACTAATACCAGAGCCAAGTTTCAAATTAAATATGCCTTGCAATCAATAGCATTTCTATCATTATTTGAACTGTTTACTGCGGACCGCCCCCTTTCTGGCTACAATCTACGATTTGTTTTATATAACCCTGACTGTATCGCACTATTACATATCAGTTTAAATTATCAAATTAACACTAACTTTCAAAGGGAAATTCACTTTTTTCCCCAACAAAAAAAATCAAAGGTATTGTTTTGCCAGATGGTGGCAGTAGAACTTCATAATTTGTGTCGAAACCTAAGATGCCAGAATTTTACATTTAAATTTCTACTAAACCACATGTCAAAGTACAAATGTTAAGCCACAGAAAACTATTTTATTCTTTTTAATTAGACTGGGTACCATAACATGAGAAGAACACTGAGTAATAAAAATTAAGTCAAAAACTATGTTTGAACAGTGCAGGTTTATCCTGTTTCCGTGTATATGATAAAGATCTCCATATCACTAACTACTGTATGTTTTCTGTAAATTATTATTAAATATTGCACATTTTAAGCAAACTGATTAACATTCTGCAATCCACTGTGAGACTCCAACACTACTGAGGAATGATGAGCAGTCAGTCTCCTGCTAGTCCAAACAAATGGACATGTAGCCCAGCTAAAATATGTCTCTGACAAGTGGCAACCAGAAGTAACATGAGGACAACAAGCTAGAAATGGAGTGATGATAGTGGAAAGAAGAGCAAAATAATCTGTGATTGTAAGTGAGAAACATTGCTTGCCAATGTTCCAACCCTGATTTCAGAGAACAGGAACATTTCAACATGACATGTTGAAAGGTTTTTAGTATATTGATAAAAACAAACATTAATTTACAGCCTGAAAAAAATCATGACTGTCCTGATTCAATAAGCAAACACTTCAAAAGTCAATAAGCATTTTTATATTCTGTTTTGCAAGTTCTAAGAAACCTCATTGTCACCTCAGTGAGGTCTCAAAAAGCAGAACAAACAGGAAACAGATATGAATTTAGCACCTGAATCTAGAAACTGTAAACACACTGCACCAATATGTATATGCACACTGCTGTATCTACTCCAAAAAAAATGTAATGGAATAAGTCTTAAGAAATCAATTGTGTTCCAAAGTCAATGCATATAACAGGAATTATCCAGTACAAAATTAAGAAAAATAGAAAAGGATTGTTTTTCCTAATATACTATAAACATTCATTCTTTTATGTTAATAGGTTTTTGCAATAAAACAGAGAAAAGGGCTGTATTGAACAGAAACTATTTAAATTTACCACCAAAAACATGTCTTGGGCTACTGACCTACTGGAGATGTCATTCAGATGAGAAACCTTGTAAAACCCAACCCCCCAGTTTTGCGGTTGTTAAAATTCACTCCTTGAAAAAGCACAGGGATTGTTGACCCCCTGTGCCCTGGCCAAATTCCACATCTTGAAATTTCACTTCTGCAACAGTGACTGGGCCCCTTTGAAAAAGCTCAAAGGGCTACCCTGTGTAAATACCTTCAGCAACCTAATTGCATTAAGGGTGTGCTCTATGCACAGACCAGACCTCTTTTTTCTCCAAAGTAGGAACCACATGTTAGCTGAGCAGAAAAAGAAAGAAGTGTTGCTTGTTTGCATTTTGTCTCAGAGTTACAGTTAGCTCAATGTTATTAGCCACCAAGAACTTTACTTATATACAAAAACATATTTGTCTACCCTCTCCTCATTGAAGAAGGCTCGAGTCAGCATTTAAGCTTTTTTCAGTTTCTGGGATTTCACAAAAATAACTTTTTTCCCCCCCAGTATAAAGACCGAGACAATCACAGTGAATCTTGTTCTCCAGAACTACTCCAGAAGTGTTTGTTTATATGTTTTGTTTGTTTACATAGTCCATTGGCAAACCATGGCATTTTGTCTTGGAGAATATTTCAAGATTCAATCAATAAAACAAAACACTCAAAGCCTTTTCTAGGATGTTTTTTATGCTTTAGGGGAGTGTTTTTCAATAAATCTTAAATACATAATACATGTTTTCAAATGCAGGGTGTAAAAACAACATTTCTATTAGAAACATGAGTTTCATACAATGTTTTTTTTTTCATTTTCAGAAAATGAAACCAGCTAGCAGTTAGATCACGACAGAAATAAACTACTTAATAAACAAAAGATTTTAACACACCGTGTTTTGCAAAAGCAAACAGCCTGTATTGTGATAAGGACATGGAAATATTTATTTCTCCCTATGAACACCTTTCTTGTTACGTTGTTACTGCTTTATGCTAGAACATTTACATAGGGCATTTGAGACTGACTTGTCACTGAGCTCCTACAGACGAAAAGCTCAGAAATATCCTCTTGTAATTTTGATTTCATTGAGTGGTCTTCTGAAACGTTCGTGACAGTAGCTGAGTAATCAGCAACCAACCTGGTGTTTAAAAACAAGAAGATACACTGATGGAAACTAATCCAAACTACCCTTAATGTACGCGACCCATGATTAACAGCTCTTCATGTCAGCTGCGTCTGGGAATATGCTACATTTCTGTACTTCCTTATGTAACCAATATCCCTCCAGTTCTATCTCTGCTAAAGCAATACATGATTTTAAAAACAAAAAACATTACGTTTAATGGACTACAGTAATAGCCTAGCTGTCCATACGGAGAGATCAAGTGATATGGTACTGCAATTCACATTTCTATTTCCATCTACATTAACCGGTTTAATCGTGGGTTTATTAAATTAAGAATACCAGTGACGTACACCTAGGACTGCGTACATTCACTGAACTCTAAAAAAAAATCTCAGGTATTGTAAAAAAAACACACAATTTACAACAGCCTTTAATTAACTTATCACGCTATTACGGATGTAAAACATACACCTAAGCATTTAAATATGCAAGACAAATCGTTTTTGAATCGGCACAAAACACAAAGCACAATGATGAGAATCATTTAAACAACTTAGAAGAATACAACAAAAGATTAAGACAAAAGGCAATCATACAACACAATCACTTTCAATTACTTTCTTGGTAATGGTCTATGCACACCCCACCGGGAATGAGAATTTAATGCTTAACTTAAATGCCAACATCCGAAAGAGTTACTCGAAAAAAGTCTATACTGAAATGAAGAGCTTGCAAAACCCTGTATATATAAGGGTAGGTTTTTGGAAGAAAAAAACAACTCAGGACACTAATAAATATACCATATGACAATTAAACATATCGAAAAATGTTCAGGTACTCAATGCTAAATTTGGAAACAGATATTACCTCTGCCACTTATGTGCATTTTAAAATGTTATTGTTAGTGTATGTCAGTTGCACTGCGTTTCATATTAAGTACCCTTTAACTTTCTAGAATAGGTTAACCTGTTTTTTGTGTAGAAACTATCAATAGAGATTACGTCCAGCCGCCGGAGACCATGTTAAATTAATTATGAAGGTGTGACCGTTCTATGGACACCCAGCAGCATTCCATCTCCATTAATTTATAATGGCAACGCACACTCGGTATGGTCAGGACACCCAAAGTGTAGCAGTTGTCAGAGAGCCAAGTAAAAACAGGGCACCAAATGTGTAGAAATAACAGGCTCCTATTCACAAGCCAACGCGACCTCAGAAGGGTCGTTTCAAACAGTTTAATAGAGCACTACACTTACAATGGTCTTTACTACCATTTGAAATTCACTTGGAAAGAATACACAAGCTCATCTATCTATATATATATAAAGGGTTTTTCATGCTCAGAAAGAACGAAAATTAAAAGTTGAATTTGATATTTCTCATTTTGACGAAACGATTCTAGTGTTTTAAAGGCTGCAGACTGCAACAGCGTATGGCAATGCTGCACATTATCCTTAAAGTAATCCAAATTAAAATAAAGGTAACTACGTATCACTGAATTCATTACTTATTTGCATTCAGTGTCCGGATTCACAACTACTGGGGGAACCACTTAAAAAGGCAGAATAATTATACAAATGTAAAATACAGTAAGTAAAGTTTAAAATACATTTGAAAAAGTATTAGCGAAATTAGCTATGTTGCCGTTTGCATTTAAGAATCTGTTTAAAGGACGTTTACACGAGAAAGGGAAACAAGAACTCTTGATTTTTTAACCTTAGAAATACGAGATAAATCTTTTAGTTTTAATTACACTGCGAAGAAAAATGCGACTATAAAAGGTGACATAAATGCAAAAAAACATGATATATTTTGTTAAAGAATCCAGTTTTAACAGTATAATACTAAGTTTATTTTATATAAGATTATATTATATAACGTATAATAACGCTTCAAAATACATATGGAAAACAATCCAATGTATCTCTGTAAACAGGTTAACTGCAAAAAAGCCCAATTAAATTAAGATAATATACCAAATGAAACATGCGTACGTTTCCATATTTGTGTATTACATTTTTATTATTAATGGCTATAGTAGTTGTCAATCATTCACCTTGTAAATTGCAAAATCATGCCAAAGAAACGCTTTACATTAAACTGCAAGTCCATCCCACGTAATCGTACGCGCTGTACTAATAACAAAAGTTAAAGAACAAACTAGCTAAAGTGATGAAGATACACATATAAGGGGGGTTAATTCCCATAAGAAACACTTTAAAAGAATAATAAAACAAGTTACCTATGTAGACTCTGGAAGCGAGAGCGATCAGGACCAGCAGAGAGAGAAGAGGAGATGGTAGGAGGAGGCGATCAGCCCCGGGGTAGTAAAATCTGGCTTTCCCCATACCCATCCATCCAGGTCGCGGTAGTGAGGGACTCAAATACTCCACGGGAGGAACAGAGGTGGACTTGCGGCAATGCCGGGAAATCGGGCCTCTGCTCTCCCCTTTCCCACTGCGCTCCAGACGCCTCGATCGCGCAACTGCATTAAAAACGGATGGGAAAAGAAAATGTGTGAAAGTACAGCATATGCAGAGCAGCACTAAAAAAAAGTGGAGAGAAAATTCCAAGCGGCCACACTTCTCGTCCGAACACCTGCAGGACACCAGTTCGCTAGCTTTTTTGGCTGCTATCTGACTGACTCTGCCACTCGTCACGGCTGCGATCAATCTCAGCTCTACACTAACCCCAGACACGCACACAGCACATCTCTCTCTCACACACACACTCGGAAAATCCACCCCCCTTTTCCGAGTGATCAATCGCAAATCAACCAAACCCTGGCCGGCACTTGAACGGAACACCCGCCCCGCACAAGCACACAGGCACCGCCCCAACAGCGGCTGGCAGGGATCCCGAGGGACCCGCTCGCCAGCGGG